GATTAATTTGGAGTTCTAGATTCGATTTTAAGCTTCTAAGGGTTTTAAAAGGTTTCTAGAGGAACTTTGGAGAATCTAGGAAAATTATGGTTTTTTTATGAAAAATTTTGGATTTTTAGAAGAACATATGAATTTTTCGATGAAGTTTTCAACAAGAGTTTGTAGTTTTCAATGAGATTTGGACAAGATTTCTAGAATTCGATGAATTTTTCAAATTTTGATTAAGTTTCTAGATAAGTTTTTAAAAAGAGGGGAGAGAGTTTTTAGGTTAAAGAAAGAGTGGGCAGAAGATTTCTAAAGCTAGGCATAGAGACTTGGCTTTTATACTAGTCTAAAAAGACAGCGTTTTGAACACCCCATATCCACGCGACTACCCAACAACCTACGTGAAGATCTATGTGCAGACCCAACCTGCTTCGTAAGATTTTCTTTTTCATTTTCATTTTATTTTTTGATTTTCATTTATTTTCATATTTTACGTTTTATTTTATTTTAAGTTTTTTTATTATTTTATTTTACTAGTTTTTTTATTTAATTAATTTAGTAATCCATTTTTTAAAAAGGAAAAAAGAAAAAGAAAAAAGATCTTTTCTTTCTGGAAAGCAGAATAAGCAAAGAAAAAATCTTTTCCAATAAGATAAAAAGAAAAACAAAGTAATAAGTCTAAAAAAAAATCCTTTTCAAATAAATTTATAAAATCCACCAAATTATTAAGAAATTTCATAAATCAGTTTTTTTTAAAAAAATAATAAATAAATAATTTTCATTCTCTAATTGGAGGATTATCTTTCAAATTAAGTTTTGCCAAACTATTAGGAGATTTAATGAAATCCATAAAAGTTTTACAAATCTTTTTACAATAAAATCTCATAAATTATTGAGAGATCTACTTTAAAGTAAGTCTTACCAAACTATTGAAAGACTTTACTGATTTTTTGGAATAAAATAAATCAATAAATCCGACAACGGAGCCTTTTCAGAGTGTAACACTAGTATTTATGAATACTCATAAGGTGAAAGAATTATCTTAAATTGCTACCAAACTATTAAGATATATTTTCAATATTAAATTATCTGGTGAATCAAAAATATGATCAAAGCTTGAATAATTGGAAGTCATGCTGGTACTATCTGTTGGATGGGCGTCGTGGGAGTGTTATAACCTTCCTTGTGTGTAACCGTACTCTGAACCTAACATCTAGTTTAATGGACCAGAATGTGCTTCAGGTGGCCAATCACACCTAAACAAAAAAGATTAGTGGTGACTCCTTTTAGCCATGTCTAGCAATAAGTCCACAGATCTATACATAATGACAATCTATCTCTCTGATTTTCATTTGTTCTTTTGCTGCTTGGTTTAAGGCTATATTTATAGGCTTAAATCCATAAAACCCCATACTCAAAAGAAATTCCAATTCCCTTCAAACTTTAATTCAACTTAACCTTTACCAATCTATTTCAAACTCTTCAATCCCAGTTTTACACAAATTCAACCACCCAATTTTTTCTTTTTTTTAATTTTTTAATAATTATTTTTTTTAAATAAAATCAATGCCAAGTAGACCCCCAAACAAATTGAGGTGTCTACAGGGGCAAAATTGTTGTTTCTTTGGTAGATTACTTTTATATATAGTTAGATGATATGGGGCATTATAGTAATTTTGACTATGGTAAGAGGGGTATAAAAATAATTTTGAAAAATTATGATAAAAGGGATATTTTCATAATTATGATAATAAAGGCATCATAGGAATTTTCTCAAATTATAGTAAAAAGGATATTATCGTAATTTCAACAATTATGGTAAGCGTGATATTTCGGTAATTATGATAAAAGGATATTATAATCATTTCAGATATGTGTTAACTCTTAATCAAAGAACTATAGGGGCATTTTTATAATCTCAATGAGATTAGCAATTTAATATGTAATTAATTTTATATTATATTAAAATTTAATATATGTAATTGAATAGCAATTTTCAGATAAAATTTCACACATCAATTTTTTATAAAACGATGATAAAGGTATTTTAGTAATTTACTATGTAATTAATTTTATATTTTTATGTTAAAATTTAATAAGTAAATTAAAAGCAGTATTATAGTAATTTTCAAATAAAATAGTACATATTAACTTCTTATAAAGCAATCATAAAGACATTTTTGTAATTATGGTAAAGAATATTATAACTATTTTGATCAATTTTGGTAGGAGAATATTTTCATAATTACGATAAAAAGATATTATAACAATTTTGGACAATCATGGTAGTAAAGACATTTCCGTAATTATAGTAAAAGGGATACTATAACAATTTTAACCAATTATGGGATTGTGGGTATTTTTGTAATTATGACTTAAAGGTATCATAATAATTCGTCATTTGTAAGAGGCATATCTTCGTTATTTAAGATATAAGTGTCATTATAGTATTTTATATTTATAAAAGGGGTATTTTTGTCATTTAATAAAGGAAAGACATTATAGTAGTTTATCATTTAAAAGATGGGTGTTTTTTTCATTTAATACAAAAAGGACATTATTATCTTTTCGAACAAATGTCGAGTAATTAATAAAAAATTAGAAGGATAAAATGATCATTTGTTGAAAAATTACTATCTATATTATTTTGTCGATTTGGTTCCTTTCGGGAAGTTGAATCATATGAATGAGAAAGATTTGCTACCAAAATTATGCTTCATAGACCCAACCTGAAAATTTCAACATCTTTTTTTTTCTTTATCTCAACTTTTGTTGAGGTACATATATCATATTAGACATTTTTCTATTTTACATGAGTTAAACAGAGCATTTTTCATATCATAAATTACTCTGTTTGGTGCATTGAAAAATCATTGAGTACAAAATACTCAAAATAATTTTATTGTTAATAATAAAAGAAATTTAATTTTGATTAAACTAACATTTTAAAAAAGAACAAACCATGGACAACATGAACCAATTTTGATGCGTGTTAGTTCTTAAAACAAAATCATTGACTTGTTCGTATAAAATTCAGAGTCGAATAAATTGTCTTGTAATTATAACTATAGCCCGATCCAAGATAATATTTAATTAATAAAAATATTTTTATTTAATTATAATTTCAAATATTATATATTTTTAAAATTTTTGAGTTTATTATGGATTTTGTAGGTTAAATTATGAATACAGTAAGCAAATGTTGATGAATTACTTTGAATTTGAATATCATCTTGTGTAAATGTACAAGTCCATATGTTTCATGTTGACAAAACCGTATTTAGTAAGCGGCAAGAAGAAAAAAACTACCAAAAACATGCTACTACATTTTTTTTTTTTTAAAGTTATACTCATAATCAAATATTACATTCATAAAATCAATTAATATATCACTTAATAAATCAACTAATAAATTATAATTTAACTAAGCAATTAAACCCACACACAATAATACTTGAAATTAAAACCTTAAGGTTTTATCATCTTCTCCCATTGGCTGCTGCTAAATATTTTGATTAGTCTATATTAGTTCAAAAAAAAGGTCATCGAAGAGAATTAAAACGTGGGATAATGCCCTTGTTGCTGTCACCAAAATTAACGCAGCCATAGAAGAAAAGTTCTTGACCACTTTCTTTGCTAAACAGCTAATTTTGTGCTTACTATTCTATATGTTCAAATTGCTTTTATATATGTTTTATTAAGAAATAAAGAAGACAAGATCATAGTCTTTCCAAATTGGTAGTAATCATGGCTTATCTACGTATATTCCTCATTGGAATTTTGACTCCTTTTACAAATAAATTAATATACAAATTGCATATATATAAGTTTGTTTTTGATGGATTATTTGTGAGCAAATTTTTACACTATCATTAAATTATGTAATCTCATAATAAGTTAATATAAAATTTTATAAACCCTTACAGTAAATACACAAAATTTTATTTTTTAAAATAGTTTTATTAATAAAATAACATCATATATTTCGATAACAGTTTATAAAATTTATAATCTTATTACATCAATTATAAACTATATATATGTATTCATTAACAAAGAAGGATACCTTAGTAATACTCTTAATAATTAAAACAATAGTTTGAGCATGAATGTTAAAAAAAAAAAAAAAAAAAAACAAATGATTTGATCAATTAAGGACTTTTTTTGTTTATACTTTTACTATTTACCTTTTACTATTTATTTTTTTAAAAAAAAAATAAATAATAAAGGCACCAATTTAATGAAACCTAAGGATTAGTAACAGCAAAATTTAGATCTAATCAGTACTTGATTAAGAAACTAAATAATGGCAAACACGATTAATCACAAAAAAAGTTCAGTAATATTTAGTTAACATAATTAGTAATTAATTTGTTTATATTTATAATTATTTTTGTTAAACAACTAATTTAAAGCCAACTGACTTTTAGATGGAGTGATCCCATGTAATAATAAGACCACAAGAAATTTAATATTTAACAATGTGAGACATTAAACACTATTTTTACAAAACCCATTACATATAGGTAAAAGGAATAGCTTATCACATGACAAATTTAGAAAAAGTAACAAATGAAAACAATAAAACAAAATATTAGCTCTAATTACATTGAGCTTAATATTAATTAATAATTTGAAATAAAAATTCATTTTAATTTTAAATAATAATCAAACGTAAAAGTTAAACTTGAATCACTCAATTAATTTTTTTTTATGTCAATTCTGAGTTTAAAAATAAAACTCAATTCAATTTAAGCTTGAGTTTCATACTTGAGTCAAGTTTAAGTTTGGCATCAATTTAGTTACCTTGACTTCATGACATCCATAAGCCTATCTTGATTGATATTAAGGTAAAGTTTGTAACACCATATATAAAATAAGGATAATAGGATAAAATAAGATAAACAAGTAGACTGGATTAACTACAACCATAATCCTATCTTATATATGCTAATGCTTTCAATGAGGAAAGAGAGTGAATTACCGATGCTTCATCTATGGAACCAAGCTTCATCTCCAATATTGAAAGCCTTAGCATATTTGCATTAATTAGTTGATGATAGATTGAAGCAAATATGCTGTAGTCTATTATATGATCAATATATGTAGGAAAGGCTAGGGCTGATGAAGAATTTGAAGGGCGTAGTGTGAAGTGCAGTGACCAGGAGCAGGTGCAAGGCTTTCATGGTTATGCTTCCCCTGGTAAGTTGTTATCACAAACCGCGGATCATCTCTTTCCCTTTCCACCCTTTTCTTCACCTTGCATCCCCCGCTTGAGCACCGGTAATAGTTCCTGTATGTATGTATATATGTATGTCAATAAGTAAATTAATTAACAAACCGCAATCATATATATAAGAGCAACAAAAGAATTATTCCAATAATATCCATTCCTAGCCTAGCCCCTCAGCTCAGTAAGTGACACCATTAGTTTGCCCGTCAGTCAGGCTAAATTGGAACCTTTAATTTTACATGAATATATGTTCCTAGATGCCAAGTGAGTTGACTGAATGCTTTAATTACTTGTAAGGGTTAAATTCGATTTCCACTGCAAGCGATGCTCCCATAATTTAATGAATATATAAATCTTCGTTGAGGCTTGTGATATACCTTGATCATGGATTAGGGTACCTAAACATTTTTTTTACCAAAAAAAGAAAATATATTCCTAGAGCCTAGAAGAAGAGGTTTACATACTTGAAGGGATTAGTTAAATCATCCATCTGTGCTTCACTCCTACATATACCATATCTAAGTTAAAGCCGATTAAAGGAGACTACAGCCAGGACCAGCTTCAGCTTATATATGCTTCAATTACCTTGGATTCGGGCTATTCTTAACCATCTTCTTCCCATATTTTCTCCATTTGTACCCATCATCCATTATCTCAATATCAGATTTGGTTCGGAAAGCAATTTTAAACCCCACGTCATCATCCCTTTCCATTGTCTTTTTATCATCATTTCTACACGAGAAAGAAAATTAAATACCAGAATTAGTAACAAGCAAAGGAATTATATAAGTTATACAGATAGATAATTAAGTGCAGAAAAAGTATACAATAAATTGGAAGGAGATTTGTTACGGTTCCATATTATAATCAGCAGAGCTACTTCTTGGAACCTGCTCCCAGCAGCTATCATTGACTGAACTGCTAGTCATCATCTCATTCTGATCATGTGATGAAATGAAAGGGTTTTGAGAAAAAGTAGTCGACGCTTTGAGACAAGAAGAGGCGGTAGATTCCTTAGTTTCTTCATGATCAGCGGCAGCAAGAATTAGAAAATCTTCAAAGTCTTGTAGTTGCTGATCACTACTGTTAATATCCATGGTGTGAGTGGAAATAGGGGTTGGGTTTTGCGGGATGTTTGTTGCTGCTGCTTCGGCTATTGCTAGGAAGGTGGTGGTGACGTTGGAGTTGGACATTGTTGGAGTACGAGAGGGTGTGAGTGGAAAATCTTCAAAGAGTTGGAAATTTCTTTGTTTTCGATTTACTTCAAATGAGAGAGCTTAAAAAACAATTTAAAGGGGATTTTCAAGGGAATTTCCTTGTGGAAGACATTAGCCTTCCCTTCATGCAGACACGTCACACGTGCCTGGGACTTTTGCTTTGCATTGTTTACATTATAACTCTAATCTTTACACATTGCTTTGCCTAACCCCACCTCATTAAAGAGGATATATATCTTACATTAAAAAAAAATATTCTTATTTATGAGCAAAATTGGAGACTATATTTACGGGATTTTGAAACCATCGAGTTAATTACCATGAAAGATATAACATGAATTCAAATTTTAATTTAATTGATTTATATAGATATTCAACAAATTTAAAATTTAAATCTATAACATTCGTAATTTTTTTTTATTCTTATATTATAATTTTCTTTGTTAAAAAAAGTTGAAAGTAGAAAAATATTTACTACACCATGAAAGAAAAAAATATGTATATTATTTAAGGCCATAACCAATATTAATTATTTCTGTAATTATTTATTAATTAAATCACCATTTCTGCGAGTATCAGACATACCACGTGTGAAAATTTATTTAAAGCATGCCACACAGAAAAAAAAGGTCTCAAAATATGCCCTTTTAAATCCTCCTTGACCAGGATGTTTCCACACACACAAAAAGTCCGAAAATGTGCCCTTTGAAATCCTCCTTGACCGGGATATATATACTTACCAAAGCATATGTATTATGCCGTATCCACACCGTACACTTAATCACTTGAGCTAAGCCCAAGTGAAGATTAATACAAAGATTGTTTCACCTTCAATATTATGTGACGGTTGGTAACTTAGATTTAAAAGAAATGATGTGGATTTTAAATTTACTATAAATTTTGTGATAAAATAAATGTAAATATGACATTCATGATCATTATTAAATTTATGAATTTGTTGAATATATATTTAATGGTAAATTTAAAATATCTACAAGTATTTGTAAATTTGATATTTATCTTATAATTCCCTTTCAAATACACATATATTAAAACACAATTAATTTGTGCATGCATAATGTATACATTTCATGCTCATAATTTATATAACAAATTAAACCAAAATTCATTTTGTTAAATTCATGTTTTTAAACATAGAGCATATGTATTTCATTAAGATAATTGAAATACATGTAACATAATGTTTAATCTTCTTATACCCTTTGTTCTTTATTTTTTAGACTTGGTACAAATGTTCCCTCATTTCTTTTCAATTTTCCCTTATTTCTTGTTCAATGGTGATATATGGCTCTGCAGGGTCGAGGGCTGTTCCTTAATTATCTGATTCTTTTTTACCAAAAAAATTTGGACTGTTTTTGAAATTAACCATCCTAAAAATTTCACCTCCTTTGCTTCTAGAACCGGTCTGTCTTGCATTAACCTTTCAGATACTTACATTTTGATCTTTAAATTACTTTATTTTGTCTCCAGATAGGTAATTGAAGTTGGTCGACTATATATACTAAATTTGGTCACCCATATATAGATTTTAATCAACCAAGTGATCGTAGAATAACATAAATTGCCATACACAGACATATATATATATATATATATATAATCTACTACATAAACTACCTCATCAATCAAATTAAATTACAAATAGTAGGCTTTTAGGCATTTTTTCATTTAAAAATCAAAACTATATACCTATCAATGAAGAGAAAAAATGAGAAAAGAAGTGGGAATGAGGTAAATAAATAAAAAAGACGTGAACTTTTTTTCTTTTCCGGTTAAGGGGAGGGCGAAGTCCTAGCAAGGGGGAAAGAGGGAAGAGATCATGACTCAGAAATCAGAACTTTTATATCCTTATAAAAGCTCCTTAGCCACTAGACGAAGAAGTGAAGAACAAAAAGACGTCAACTTTGACTAATGTAGCAGCCACATCATTTTTTTCGTCACTTGATTGGATAGAATATATTAAAAGTGACTGAATTTGATCTAGTTGACAAATTTTATTAATCTATTTAAAATAAATTAAAGTTTAGTAATCAAAACAGGAATTATGTGAAAGTTTAATGATTATTTGTCTAATTTACACCAAAAATGATTAAATAGTGAATTTTGTACATACCTACCAGATTAGACCACAATTTTCTGATAAAATAGAATGTAAGTAATTAATTAAATTTTGTTGCATTTTAATGAAAATGGTCGACCCATACCTAATTAAAAAGAATTAACGTCCTCATTCCTTGTATATGGAAACAAAGCTTTATTCTGAACTTATATTAGTGTCCTCATTCCTTGTATTGGAGATGGCTGACCGGAAACATACATGCATGGGAATAGGGAGGAATTTAAATGTATCATGAAAAAATTCATTGATTTCTAGAAGTTGACAAGTCTCTAATAAACAAAAATTAGAGAAGTCACCTGTGTTATTTACTATTATTATTTTGAAATGTATCAAAAGGAAGTTTACGAAAAGACACCAATTTTGATCATATTAACAAATAATGTTTCTGAGTTCAAGTTAAAAAAAAAAAAAAACCAAGTCAATTAAATCAAGAAATTATTACATAAATCCTTCTATTACCATGCATTTACTAGTCAACTGTCATAAACAGATTATATGTAATTAAAAATAGTCACATAAACACAAATCCACTCTCGTCATAAACCTAACTGATCAATCCGGATTTTTTGGCGGGATCAATTGCATGAAGATCTGATTAAGGAATCGATCCAAGTGTTAGATCATTGGGTCAATTGATCCGATCGAGGTCAATCCGAATTTAATAATTATGTTTTATATATATATTATAGGCCATCTGTTATAAATATATATAGTTCATATAATTAATTTCCTAATTTTAGATAAATAAAGGGTCAGTTTGGAGGAAGACTCTTGTAGGAGAGAAGTCAACTCAGAATTTATAGCCGTATTGCTCAAGAAATTTCGTGTGTGGGTTGAGTTGATAGCTTTTGACATACAGCTAATTAAATCTTTATTTCAAATGTTGATTGTTTTATTGAATCCCTTGATATCACCCTTTCTACTAAACTTTTAGGTATTATGTTATCCTTTAAGACAAGCTGGTTTTACAATTCTTTTTTTGGATAAATTGAATTTTAAATCGCATAATAATAAAGATAATTCTATCATATCTTATAAGTTTATAATTGATTAATACAAATTATCAAATTAAGTAAAATTGACAATCAAATTTAAAATATTTTATCAACCAACAAACAATTGTCTTTCCATTGCTTCTATCTGAGCTTTCAATTTTTTATTTATAGGGAGCGCTTTGTTGATGATCAAAAGCTTGCTTAGCCGAATTAGTTTGCTTGGTGGAGGTGATTTGCTTTTAAGTTGGGGTGATAATTTTGGGGACTTGTTCCTTCAGGGCTGAGGAATTAGCATCGTTGTCGTGTTATGTGGTGGTTTTTTTGGGTCGGTAGTAGATTTTTTTTTAGTTTTAAGACTCACATTTTCATGAACTTGTAGTTGATAATGATTTTCCACTTAGTCTTTTCTTACAGTCCTGATTGAACTTATGATGAAACTTTTAAAGAACAAAAAAAAATTGACTTCAAGGTAATACCAATTTCCTTAAGACTTAGTTCATCTTTTTTAGTTATAGTATGCAAAAGAGATATAATCAAAATGCCTCAAGATATAATAAAATCTTGTTTGATTTCACCTTGCATATGTAATATCAAATTATTAAACATTCTTTGATGAAAACGAAAATATCAAACTTTGAACATTAATTTCTACAGAAATAGTATAAAAGTAACTGAACTTTATTTATGAAAGAATGAGAGAAAAGAAAGAGTTTTTGAATTTATTCAATCTTTTTGTATATATTCAAATGAACACTCATAATGTCTATTTATAGAGATTATATCTTAAGATTCTGATTTTTTTGTTGTTTTAATAAAAAAAAATCACCTCATTTAATCAAGATGATATCTTTCTAAAAGTAACAAACAAATTGGTTCATTTGAATAGTCATTTTTTTTCATTCTAATAGAAATCATTTTTCACGTTTCCAAAAAATTACAATTTTTCACTAAAGCATTCAACTACTCTTTGAAGCCAGCCAACTGCCTCTTTGTAATTTCTGTTTCTAGAATGCTTCATGAAATAGGACAATCGATTGTTGTATTAAGGAAGTTGATTTCCCTAAATTCCAAAATGCACAAAACTAATAGAAATTGAAATAGCAATCGGTTCCATCCATAGTTGTTGATTCTCTAGTGTAGGTGGTCGATTGCTTATTTTTTAAGTTTTGTACCGAATATATTTCTAGAATGTATAGCAGTCAACTTCTTCATAAGTAGTCGCTGCTCCTTTAGGCATGAACATGGTAGTCAATTGCTCTTACTAAAGCAGTCTACTATTCCTATGGTATATGCCAACTTTCATTGTTTTTTAAGTCCAAAATCAATCCTATTTACCTTGAAACATTTCCTTAAACTATATTAAACAACTTAATATAATTTATTTGATTAAATCTTTACTTAATCATATTATTTCCATATTTAAAAATATTTCTAATAGTTTTGAGGTAAGTTATGGATCTTTCAATGGTGGAGTTGGAACCAATGTGCTTTAGATCAAGTCTATAAGGTTTTAGAGCTAGCGGGTCAAAGCATTGAGCTGCTCAACTGTTGGTGAAAATTGTTGAGGTTTGCCTTAAATCTCTTAATCTCACATCAAAAGTTGAGTGAAATTATAAAAGTTGAGAGTTTGCCGCAGATGAGAAGTTTAGTAAAGTTATAATGTGTTTCACCCTTATAAATAAGATGTTTTGATTTAGTTTGGTAATCTTAAATAGTTAGACACAAAAAAAAATAGCTAAGTGAGTGGACAATTAAAATGATGTAATTGGGTTTTAGGTTAAGTTTTGAATAAGGAACTTTTGATAATTTTTTCATTTCAAAAGTCTCATATTTGTAAAGATTTGTTTTATTAATAGATTGGGTTTGAAGTAGACTATTTTGGACTGGGCTGAATCAAATATATTTGTATTTTTT